CCATCACCACCATCTCCATCACCACCATCACCACCATCTCCATCACCACCACCTCCATCACCACCATCACCACCATCTCCATCACCACCATCTCCATCACCACCATCACCGCCACCACCATCACCGCCACCTCCACAACCATCAGCAGCAGCAGCATCACCATTGCCATCCTCATTTTTACATGCTCTCAGTATATAACAGACACCTGGGCACCACCATCTAGATCAAGTGACAGTATTTCTAGTATTGGTTTCAGAGTGTTGTTTTAGGAAGTACTATATCCCTAGTCCTCATTCCCATTCTCTTCCCTCCCTAGAGGTACCACTGCCCTGACTTTGGGGCAACTCCCAAACTTTTTTTTTTTTACCTTGTATTTTCTATGTGCAATTAATAATGTGCTTTAAAATTTTCATAAATGGGACTGGACTGTACCTATCCTTTTGCGATTTTCTGTTTTCTCTCAATCTGAAAAATAAGAGCTCATTCACACCTCCGCAAGGCTCTGTGGTATTCCACTGCACACACCTCAGCTAATTTCCATTAACAGAACTGACTACAGCTGCTTTAAGCAGAGTGGAATAATTCACACTGGGGCCATGTCTGGGGGTGTGTGGGCATGTTCTCCCTAGGTCCTCTGGGAAGAAAACACAGTTATCCCTGCTCTGGACCAACGTGCTACAACATTTACATTTGATTTTTTAAATTGGAGGTGAAATTCACATAAAATTAACTATTGTGCAACGGTCACTTCTATCCAGTTCCAGAACATTGCCATTGTCCCCAAAGGAGACCTTACACCCATTAAGCAGTTACTTCCCATTCTCCCTTTCCCTCAGTCCCTGGCAACCACTTATCACCACTGTCTGTATGGAGTTGCCTATTCCAGACATTTCATGTAAGTACAACATGTAGCCTTTGACACGCTTCTTTCACTGACAGCCTGACAGTCTTCTTTCACTGAACAGGATGGTTTCGAAGTTCATCCACTCCATAGCGTAGGTGAGTTCTTCATTCCTGTTTATGGTGAAGCATATTCCATTGTACGGGCATGCCACATTTCGTTTATCCCTTCATCTGGACATGTGGGTCATGAACAGTGCTGTTATGAGCATGTACCTTTTTAATTCATTTGGGTACATAATTCATATGGTAATTATAGATTTAACTTTTGAGGATATATTTTATGTTTTTTCATTTTCACCACAACCTTGTGAGTTGGTATTTTCTCTATTTCCAGATGAGAAGTGCTGAGGAACCCTCTCGTCTCCTGGTACAGAGCTTGAGCATTTGCCTGGGCCCTGCTGCAGGATGTGCTAAGGTTCTGCAAAGAAGCCAGGTCATTAAGGAAAAAAAAAAAAGGCTGCTCAAAACAAAAGTTTGCTGGAATAATGAATAAATGGACTGTTTAATCTGGAGGGATGGAGAGGGAAAGGGACAAAGTAAGACCAGGCTGGGTTTGCGAGAGAAACCAGGTAAATGTTCTAATATAGACTCCAACTCACTAAATGCTTGTAGAGTGATCAAGGGGTGTTGAAAGGCTGTTGCTGTGTTGAAGTTTTTTCTCACTTAATTAGCATCACAGCCTTCATGATTTAAGACCAGGACTGCTTCTGAAAGATACATGAGAGGAAGACTGCCATCGAATTTGATAGGATAAACCTAATGCACAGGAAAACCCTCCAGAATGGACCCCTAGAGCTGTATTTGTCCCTGAAAGGGAAACAGCCCATCCTTGAATCATTGGAAGGCTGTGTCAGCCAGAGACCACCAATGGAGGGCAACAGAAACCTCCAGATCAGTCATTTGCAAGAAGGAAAACCTGCTAAGAACATCGTCCCTGATTAAAAGTATCTCCCCTGCCTACGGCACCCTGGTGCCCAGAACTCCAGAGCATCCCACTCCAGTGAGAGAACAGCACACTGGGATGCTGGTACCTACCCCCTGCCTCTGTCTCTGAAATATATTAGCATTCTTTACATATGTTCTACCTGAAAATTTTTAGTCGGTACACATTTAGATAGATTAAAATCTATGTTTGATGATACACTCATTACTGTTCACAACATGGCCCTTTAAGTGTGCATGTGTTTGTTTATAATGTGATAAATGCCTGTGAAACAAACGCTTACCATGAGCCAACACTGGCTCAACTGCCCTATACTGTCCCCACTTCTGTCTCCTGCTCCCAGGAGATTTCAACCCGTCAAGGTGGCTCATCCAAGGCACTGAGAAGACAACGCCACCAACAAGGAGGAACTGACAGATCAGTCACCCAGGGCCTGGATTCAAAACTTATGACTTTATTCAGTTAAAAAACAACACACAAACAAACGGGTACTAAACGGTCCAACTGCATAAACTGGCCAACATTTGAAACTAGGTCTCTCCCCGCGCAGACCAGAGTCCCCACTGCGGCTGACAGGGTCCCATGGGGCCCCAGAGACCACGCAAAGGCAAGCACACGTCCCCGTTGCCCCCACCCCCACGTGCTCCCGGGATACGGGCCCCACGGGACACGTCCCTGCGTGCGGCCGGGGCAGGGCTGGTGCACAGACGCGTGTGCCGCAGCCCACTTCCCAAGCTGCGCGGCAACCGTTCACCGACCCCGGCCCAGAGAGCGTCGCATTCCTGGCTCCGTGACGTCTGACGGAGAAGAACGTCTCTCCCGGTGCCAGGCCTTTGGGTCCCTTCCACGGAGGCAGTGACGGGTCCCCGCTCTCAGTCCCTAGGCAGCTGCCCATTCTCCCTCCCCGGGCACTAGTCCCCTGCTCTTTGCCAGTCGCTCCCCTGGCTGTTGTGGGGAGGGGGCAGCCAGGACAGTGGGGGCCACTTGGGCCTCGGTCCCTCGGTTCTGGGGCCCCGGGCTGAAGGGCTGGGAACAGGGCAGCTCCCCCAGGGCCGAGGCTCCCGTGGCAGCCGGGCCCTCCCCAGGCCCCCTGGACCCACTGGGCGCGTGGCTGCAGGTCTCAGTGGTGCTGGGATCCCTGTCCCCAGGAGGATGAGGGCTGCGGCCTGGATGCGGAGGCCCCCTCCCCTGCCTCCCTCGCGGCCCAGGGTGAGTAGGAGAGGATGCTGAATCCCCTCTTCAGCAGGGCTGAGACCGCAGGGACCAGCTCTCCGCTCTGCCCCGGAGCAAGGGACTCCAGCAGGCTCAGCTTCCACTGCTCCTGGGGCGCGTCTTGCAGCCTCACCACCTCGTCGGGCTCCAGCAGCAGCTCCCAGCCCTGGCCCGGGGTCCTCAGGGCCCGTCCGACTGTCATCTTGCGGACGTAGACGGCATCGTAGCAGCCCACCACGGAGATGACCTGCAGGTCCCTCAGCCAGGCCTCAGCCTCGGCGGGGTCCACCGCCCCGGTGCTGCCCAGCTCCAGCACCATGGGCTCCCCCGGTGGAGCAGGGAGGCTCGGCCAGTGCGAGCAGGTGGGGGGCCCGCCGAGTCTCCAGGGCAGGCTCTGGGTCCAGTCAGCATCCTCAGGACCCAGGCCCAGGGGAGCTGCGTCCTGAGGCTCCAGCTCGGTGGGCACCCAGTGGTGGTCCAGGCCCACCTCCTCAGACCCCGCAGGGGCCGCCGCCAGGGCGCCTGGCCCCCAGTCCGCAGTCGCCCCCTGCGCGGGGTGGCCGTGGCCCTGCCCCCAGCCGAGCCCCATCCCCGGGGATGCCCCCGGCTCGGGCCCCGCCTCGGGCCCCGCCTCGCTGTGCTCCAGCAGCTCGGGGTCCCAGTCTTCGTCTTCCCAGTCTTCCAACTCCAGCAAGTCTCTGAGCTCCAGGAAGGCAGCCCGGAAGCAGGCGAAGCACACCCCCAGCCGGCCGCCGTGTTGGAGCTGGTACACCCAGGACGCGTGGAGGTAGGACAGGCCCTCGCCCCCGTACCGCGCGCTGACCGGCGGGCACATGGCCGCGCTGCCTGCCTCCTGCGGGGGCGGGCAGGGGGAGGGGACGGGCTGGGGGGCTCTGGCCCTGGGGGGTGGGGGGGGGGGCGGGGCTGGGGGGCTC